AAGGTGGTGTTTTGGTGTTTCAGGGTGTGATGTTTTTGCTTATCGAGGATTTAGATCTTCAAGGATTTTAGAGAGAATCAATAATATGGCTTCAATGTGTATTTCCTCTCTGTTCAACTCGAAGGAGACGAATCATATTTATATGGCTCAACGTATGGTTTTTGTGGCGCGTCAAAAAATCGCGAGCTTTTAAACTTAATGTTGCCCAGATAAATAGGTCGCTCGAGCGAGGGACCAGCGTGACTCGAGCGACGTCCACTTAGCTCGAGCGACCTGCTGGCGAGGCTCTTGCGACAGTGGTTCTGCAATCGTGGCTCGAGCGAGATCATGGCGTGGCTCTAGCGAAATCTCGCGCCGTTTGCAACTTCGAGGCATCCATCACAACCCTAGACCTAGCCTTCAACACTTTGATTATTAGCAACTCAAGTCCCTGAACTATTGGACATTTGACACTTTGGTCCTTGACCTTACAATTATGACATTTTAATCCTTGACTTTACAATTATTACATTTTGGTCCTTGGTCACAGATTTGCCAATTACATATTTCCTAACACGTTGGTTCCGGCAAAGTCGCCAAATCTGGATCAAGAATATAAAAAATATTCAACGCCGTTGGGAGGATTTTCAACTTGTCTTAGAACTCCGTGAAGTTAGTCCTGTCAAATCGATCCAATCTAACCAGATCTTGATTCATGAGTTTGATGATTGTCATAGTTGTATCATTCTCCATCACTAAATATAGTTTGAGATTGTTGGAATATAAGGGGTTGGAGAAGAAACAACAACAAAATTATAGAAACAAAATGAATAGAAATCACGAAATACATCAAAAACGAATTTGAGGCTTGAACACGGGATCGTTGTCCTCAAACTATATTTGCCCCCTCTCAGGATTGAATGAAATGCTTAAGAGTTTTGACAAACGGTTTGTAGGATTATATCAAACCTTGTAAAGGATTTAACACAAAGCACAAGTGCAATCTTCCAAAACTTTAATAATACAAAGGAAGATCTTGAATATGAATGTAAATCAATAGTTTGATTCAATATGGAATGATATATGGGTCTCAAGATGTTTTCAATAATTCTGATCATGTTTGTATTGATCATTCATCACCTATTTATAGGTCTCAATCAATGCATCACGAAATGGTGCCAAAACAAGATGAGAAGTGGCAACTTTTAATTCAAAACGGCTCCCAAGTTTCAAATTGAAAAATTAGCCAACAGCTATTTTTTAACACTATACGTACGCATAGTAGAAGCAAAATTTAATTCTGATTTTGCCAAAACACATCTCGCGTATGCACAAAAATAAGTCTGTGCGTACGCATAGGCAAAAAATCAAATATTGCATTTTTCAATTTCTTTTGATTTTACCAATTCCACAATTGAGCCCAACAATAAGTTCATTATCTTGAACAAATTTTCAACAACCTTCTCCACCGCTTGTTATTGTAGTGAGAAGGCCGGCTAATAGAGCAAGCAGCATAATGGATTCCTTGTGATGGACAACGTCCTTTTTTTAGCAACTGACTCTCATGGTCCCAAAACTTGTATATCAATACTGGTCAGTCGTGACTCTTTCTTTTTTCAGGTGTTTATCAGTACTCATTTCTCGATAGAATATCATATCCGCAATTTTATTTTCTCCCCGCAGAAACTACCAAACAAGGAGATTGTTGTAATATGTGACTCATAGAGTGAAGCACATATATATTTGAAAAGCAGGCTCATGTCGAAGTGGAGCAAGGGGTGTTGAGCGCTCGGACGTGGGTGTTTTGGGGTTTTCCCTAATATTTTGTCCGGGTTAGGGTTAGTAAATAATCCATATAGTGCAAATCATCGCTGCTTCGCTCCCATAAATGTGGATCTACTGCCGAACCACTTAACTCTGTGTGTTTTCTCACTTGAACTCTTTGTTTTTCCGTACAAGTTCATTATTATTGCCTCACATAACACATTGACACGGAAGCCAGATCTAGGAAGCCCAAACACAAGAGCATATCGAGAAAGCAGCACTAAAAGAAAATATTGATAAGAGCTTTAAACTAGTGAGATAGGGCATGATAGAATGAAACAAAATAATGGTACTCCTAGGGCGACAAAAACATGGCTCAAGCAGCCCTTCGTTCCTACACAGATCCAAATTTTTCTAGTAGTGGTCCAATATTTAATTTTCTTATAGAAAAGGCACTAAATCATCAATAGACAAAAAAAAATAATAAATAAATAAATAAATCCTAGTACATCATTATCACAAGTACATCTCTATATACTTCGATTCAATCCAAGTCGTGGAGTCTAAAATTAATAAGGAGGTTTTCAATAAAATATGAAAATTATGAAAGCAACTTAAAAGGGGAAATGAGAGACCTTTATAACAGGCACCTGGCCTCCAAACATGAGGACAAGACTCATTTGTAAGAGGACTATGAAAGTGTCCCTTACTTTATCAACATTGAATTCTCTGAAACTCTCAGCACAGTCACCACCCTGCAGGAGGAAAGCATTGCCAAGTGCAGCCTGGCCGAGCTTTTCCTCAAGGCTGCGAGCCTCACCTGCGAACACAATGGGAGGGAAGGATTCAATTGTCTCAAGGACACTTTCAAGGCTATCTTTATCTGGATATTCGGGGAGTTGCCAGGCCGGTTTCGATTTCCAGCTGTCAAGGCTCCATTTTTTTGGTGGCAGGCTGGTGGTAGTGGTGGCTATCACAGGCGCCATTGCCTTTTCTCTTGATTCTTTTGAGGGGGAATGAGAGAGAGGATGATAATGGAGAAATGGTTAACAAAGAATACGATAATTAGATTATGCTCCGTGAATCTATGCAGAATTGCATAAAGCATTATATAGCTGAAATTTGACCTTTCAATGACGATTTATTTGCATGCAAAAGTAACAAAATTAACCTAAAGGGTAATTAGCATAAAACGTCCCTACCTTTCAAGATTTTTGTGAAAAACGTCTCTACCTTTCGTTTTTTTTGACGGATTTCACCCTCACCTTTACTCTTTTTTTTTTGCGCAAAACATCCTTCTGTCAACTCCCCATTAAAATGTTCCGTCAAATAAAATAAAATGGATATTTTCTTTTCAAAATACATGAGTAAGATTGTCCAAACCAATTTGTTCTTCACTGTAGCTTTACTCCCTCCTTCTTCTTCAAATGTTCATAACTAAAAAAGTAAAGTAATATGAAAAAAAAAAAAATTGTACAAAATTATTTCATTCAATAAATAAGGGAAAATGAATCAATGGTCTTCCCAATTTATTTTTATTATAGATGGCTCCGGTTATTGCAAATATGGGGGAGCAAGTATTCCTCTTCGTCTGGGTAGACAGTAACATTTTTGGTGAGTTTTCGTTTGTTGCTAGCAATGCCGTGGTTTTTGAAGTAATTGCAAATTAAGGGGTTGTCTCGTTCTTTGACTAATACTGGAGTCTTAGATTTTTAATTCATATTTAAGTTCTTTCAAAATGCAAGAATTTGGAAACATAGTCTCCGATGACTTCTTTGTGCGGGTTTATGCTAGAGTTACTCCTTTCTCCATTTTTTTTTTTCAAATGTACAAGACAAGATATACTTCAAGATAATTCAATATATTTAATACATTAATATTACTTTCAAAATAACCAAGTTCGTACATTGCACGGAGAAAGACTAGTAAGAGTTAAAAGAGAGAAAAGTTCAAAAGTAAATATTCAGCATTCTAGAATTTTTTTTCTTTGTAATATGTATAAATAAATAAAAATTTGAATGTGGTAAACTTTAAACCTTTTTTTCCTTATCAGTACTTGAATGGAAGGGGGTAAAATATATATTGGTTTATATATTTATTTAAAAATTGTCAAAAAAATCTGTATAAATCCATAAAATAATAATAATAATTAAGCATGGGCGTCATAATCCCCCACCCTCAGTGGCTGTTCACCCCTGAATGGCAATACTAAGACATAAACTTTACACCGTACATATTGTTGGGGAATATTTCACATGGGGAAGGAGAAGAAACAAAGAACCAAGAATGAAGAAATGACAAAGAAATCACCAGAATCACATAGAAGGCTCAAAATAAAAATCGTTGTCCTCAAACGATATTTGCCCCCTCTAGGATTGAATTAGATGCTTAAAGGGACTTTTGACAAATGGTTTGAAGGATTAATCAAACCTTATAATAAAGAAACACTTAAGTACTTAGTATTTTGTACCAAAACTTCAAGAACACAAAAGGATTTTGAATATGAGAGATTTTGATCTTCACTAATGAAATGAATTTGACCTTCAATATGTTTTTCATTTGTTTGTATTGATCATTCATCACCTATCTATAGGCCTCGATCAATACATCAGGAAATTCTGTCAAAACATGATGAAAAGTGGCAATTTTTTCATCCAAAATGGTCACCAAGTTTCAAATTAAAAAACAAGCCAACGACTATTTTTTAACACTATACTTACTCATCGTAAAAGCAAATTTGATTCTGTTTTACTGTGTGTGTATATATATCTGATGCATATATTATATTCTATTTAAAATATTTTAACCAATTCGGTTAACCAACAACCGCACCGGTTATCTGGGTGATTCCAAGTTTTTCCAGTCAAATCGACAAATCGTGTCTGGTTTTGAAAGCATAGAAAATTACAAATAAAATGAGCAAGCCATAGAACATAAAATCCATAAGCTTCAAAGAGAATTTATACCAAAACAAGGGCATTTGTTGCACAAACTTGCAGATTTTTTTAGTTCAACTCCAGCAACAGAATCGAAAGCTGCTTCATCTGCCAAATGATTATCAACATTTAATTAGTTTCGAATTTTACGATGAGCATTGAAACATGTTTCCATCCCGATTACTGGGCATGCTTAAGTAGTTTGAGTGAACCACGGCATTACACAGATTGAAATGTTTTAGTTCCAGCATACCCAAAATAAGTGCATGTTTGTTGAATCCTTTACAGATAAAATGTATACTATTTGCCAAAACTAAAATGGCAATAAACCAACAAATCATTGAACAAATAGACTTCAGAGGAGTAAGCGTGACTTGTTAAAAGGGGGAAAAAATCAACTAGAAAAAGGAAATTGTTACAACTGATAGATAAGAAAATTGTTCTAAAGCTTGCAGAAAGTTCATTTTTTTCCCTTTTGTTCAAATAATTATAACTTAATAACATTTGTCGAGATTAACTTGTCGGGAAAATATATAAAGAGGAAAGAAACAAAGGTTGAGAATTCCTTTATGCAAATTCAATTATTTACTTTTACTAGAAGATGCCAAAATATATTATTGTTGTTGAGAGACTAGACGCTTTCGCTATGGCTCAGGTGGGTTCCCCAAGCTTTCATACAATGCATGTTGTGGCCACAGATTCTCAGAAGCAAGATTCAATTATTTCCTCCAAGCAGAAGATGCAAAATATATTATCTTCTTGTGATAATTGATAAGCTTTCATATAAGAGTAATGCATGTTGAGGCCACAAATTTTCTGATGCAAGATTCAATTATTTCCTCGAAGCAGAAGATGCCAAAATATATTATTTTGTTGTTGAGAAAAAATTGAAAAGTTTCAAACAATGCAAGTTGAGCAAAAATTCATATAATGCATGTGAGATGATTGATAAGCTTTCATATAATGCATGTTGAGGCCTAAGACCGGACAAAACTATTGAATAGAATCGGACTGAATCGAACTCGGCCCTAACCCAATTGGATCGAACGGTTC